CTTAAATTCACAATTCCAATGTGACATGTTGGTGACTTCCACCTTATTTCCACTAGACAACTTCAAAGATTTCATAGGGAAACACAGGTTTCCACAGCTCATAATAGTATAGAGGGTTCAGAAAAAGAGCAAAAGCCAGCAATTATTCTAAGCAAAAATAATTACAAGGTAGAAAGGAGGAAAAAGACCATCCTAAACCAAAACACTGGGAAAAACTACAGGACGACCAAAAGAAAAGTCTGTAGACTTCTATACAGAGAACTTTCAGTCAGACATATGCTGCTGCAATTAATTGCCACCTGCAAAATTACAGCTGTATTCTCCTGTGGGGGGTGGGGGCGGAGGGCGGAGGTGTGGCAGCTTCTTCAACTGCAGAGCCCATTTGGGATCCTTGTGTGTAAGCAGACGTATGAGCATGAAACATCACTATAAAATTATGAAGCATTCATTTGAGCCCTCATTAGCCCAACAGCTCACAGGAGCATTATAAAAGCCTGTGTTCCAAGCACAGGTCTGGGAACCAGCCCAGACCTATTCTGTGGCTCACTTCATCCTTCTGGATGGTAATGCCTTGACTTCTCTAGTTGTGAAACAGAATATGACCTGAAAGAATTGAGAATGGTATATAAAGTGCTTGGAAAATAAAATGGGCATCAGTATTATTTTACAATATCATAAGGTCAGCAAGGGGACCTTTACATTTATAGTTCATCCTTATTAAAGATGTCAACCAAATAACATGCAAAGTGACACAAACACAACCCACAGCGGAGTGACTCAAAAATCTACACCCTTACAGGAAAGAGTACTAGGATGCGCAGAGATTTATTTTTAATTGTAAAGGCAGATCAAATAACTTACAAGTCTTAGTCTATGTGCGCGTTTTCAAATTAAATCTTAAACTGTGGTAAGTTCAGAGTAGTTGTCTCTTCATAAACTCTATCCAGAGTCTTCTAAGCTCTCAGATTTTCTAAATCCCTATTTCTGGAACACTGCTAAAACTTTCAAGAAGTTCCATGATTTCTTTAGCTACTGTCTTGGAACTAAGTTGATACACGTAGTATATCCTAATCTGAGAAACTTGATATTAAGTGAAAAGAGCCTTTTTCCAGTGAAGCAGAATATGGATTCTCACTGAAGCTGAACGGTAAACTGTCAGACAGCAAAGGCAGGTAAGGACAAAACACAGGAATAAAGATTACTAAAAACACCAAGAGGCTGAGGGAACAACATAATCATCCTCCTCCCATGTGCTAAATTAACAGAATCAGGCAAATAAACAGCACCAACAAAAAACACGAAGTCACAACAGCCACATATGCTGGGTACAACATGATGGCTTATCTTACAAAATGTCTCAATGATCAAGGGGGAAAGTACCAGTACAAAAAATTCTTATATATTCCAAGTATCAATGCAGTTAACTAGTGTGGGGCTTTTGGCTTATACCAGCCTCAAACATTTCCCAACCAGTAACATAAAAGATGTAACTGAAGTAATACATACGAGCCAAATAAGGCATCTGCTGGAGTTAACTCCACAAGTTCTTACAAACTAGGGGAGGGAAAAACTCTTTATGTGATGTGAGGCTAATAACGTTTCAATCTCTGTCAATCTAACTACAACTGAATTATATTTGTAGGGGAAAACTGTTTATTTAATGTACATGCCTTTCAGGCAGGTAAATGGAACTTAAACACTGGAAGTAAATTATTTCTTATAAGACACGATATTTAAAGGAAAAGTCCTTTGATGTCAGGTCAAACAAGGCGTTTTCTGCACAGTTGTGGATGTCTTGGTGTATAAACCATACATTAGCTTCTCATCTTACAAAATACAAATTTCAAAAATTTTTGTTCTTTGTTATCTTTTCCTCCTGTGGTGTCATAGGAGTGGGGGCCCAGGTAAGGATAAATAAAAGTATTTTCAATAGGGTCTTACTGTTGTGATCCTTTGCCCAAACCTGCTAGTTAGCTAGAATTATGGGCACATGTTACCATGGCTGATGTAGTCAAGTCCGGGATCCAAACCCAGGCCTCCCACATGACCTCACACAGCAGCACCCTACCACTTGCACCATGACATTTCAGTCTTGTATCACTTCAAAAATGTTTACCTCATTAAGATTTAAATGGGTTATTTAAAAGTTTTTAGAAAGCTTAATTCTGATATGTTTTTTCCTACATTTAAATATATTGTCCCCAAACTATGTCTTCAATACTTGGCCTTTTTATTTCGACTTAACATTATGACAATCATCTTCAACTCTAAAATCCCTACTGTAGTGTACATATATACACACCCACCCCAATTAATGAAATCAATCTGCCAAGGTCCTGTAACTTAGGCAATTTTTTTAGGCATCTGCTGGAGTTAACTCCACAAGTTCTTACAAACTAGGGGAGGGAAAAACTCTTTATGTGATGTGAGGCTAATAACGTTTCAATCTCTGTCAATCTAACTACAACTGAATTATATTTGTAGGGGAAAACTGTTTATTTAATGTACATGCCTTTCAGGCAGGTAAATGGAACTTAAACACTGGAAGTAAATTATTTCTTATAAGACACGATATTTAAAGGAAAAGTCCTTTGATGTCAGGTCAAACAAGGCGTTTTCTGCACAGTTGTGGATGTCTTGGTGTATAAACCATACATTAGCTTCTCATCTTACAAAATACAAATTTCAAAAATTTTTGTTCTTTGTTATCTTTTCCTCCTGTGGTGTCATAGGAGTGGGGGCCCAGGTAAGGATAAATAAAAGTATTTTCAATAGGGTCTTACTGTTGTGATCCTTTGCCCAAACCTGCTAGTTAGCTAGAATTATGGGCACATGTTACCATGGCTGATGTAGTCAAGTCCGGGATCCAAACCCAGGCCTCCCACATGACCTCACACAGCAGCACCCTACCACTTGCACCATGACATTTCAGTCTTGTATCACTTCAAAAATGTTTACCTCATTAAGATTTAAATGGGTTATTTAAAAGTTTTTAGAAAGCTTAATTCTGATATGTTTTTTCCTACATTTAAATATATTGTCCCCAAACTATGTCTTCAATACTTGGCCTTTTTATTTCGACTTAACATTATGACAATCATCTTCAACTCTAAAATCCCTACTGTAGTGTACATATATACACACCCACCCCAATTAATGAAATCAATCTGCCAAGGTCCTGTAACTTAGGCAATTTTTTTGTTACTTATTACAATTCGCAAAAGAAAAAACTTTGTAAATTTGTAAACTTCTTTTATCCCTTCTCTACCCTACCAACTACTGATCGACACTTCCTCCCTATAACAAAACAGCTTTATCTTCCACTCTGTGAAATTATAATATGGACAATTTATAGCCAGTACACGTACATGTTAATTAATCAGTCCATTTTGCTGAATGTTTTAATTTCTAAAACACTAAGAATTACTTCTAAAAGTAAATTTCAACATTTGTGAGTAGCTACAAGGAAACCAACAATTTGAGACAGTGGTCCTTATATACTCATGTTTTTAGTAATGACATATAAATAATAAATGTATATGTTACAATGAAAATCAAAAGCCATGTTCATTTGATAAAAGGCTGTTACTTTCAAGTAGTGCTGAAACAATCTGCTCAACATCGTGAAGTTTTATTTTAACATAAATATTAGAACTTTTCCTGCACTCTGGCTTAAGGAGAAAAAGATTTAAGTAATACAACTAACAGTGGGTGTGCTTCATCAATGACTTTTGGGACTGCCTGAGAATCTCTTAAGATTCACAGTTCAATTTTCTTTTAGGATATTTCCTATGCAGGAACTATAAGAACCAAAATAAAGGATTTAGTTTCAATATAGCGGCCCCTAGTAAGAGTCAGGAAGATTTTCAACAAGGGCCAAGGTAACGGACTGTCTACCTAAAAATTAAATTCAACATAATACTCATTCCCCACACTCTAGTTAATTTGAGGGTTTTTACAGCACTTTAATAAATCCTTACAGTTAACTCATTGTAAATTCCAGCCTTCAGGCCCAGTTGTTTAACCACACCCCCTTTTAAGGAAAGCTTTGAAACTCTGCAGAATTTATACTTTCTAAGAGCTTACAGCAAATTCTCTTTCAAGAGGGAAGTAAATGGCTATTACCACTGAGGACATCAGTTACATCAGTGAACACTACATCTAACTTGTAACTTTCTAAAGCCAACAAAAACACCTTCATATCCTTAACCTCAAACATAACACTCTGAATAAGTTATCTTCAAATTACTTTTAGAACTTACATAACTGTATCAAACATCAACTACAGATCAAATTTTTATCTGTTTAACAAACACCAAACACTTATTTAAAAATTATAAATAATGCCATTTAACTATCTGATTCTCATAATTACTAGAAAATTCTAAAAGCAATGAAGTTCAGTCTCTCCCAAAATACCTGAACCAAGCTGCCTCCTTTTCACTCACCAAAATGTTACTTGGTAGTAATTAACCAATGAAAAGTTATCCCTTTAACACTGACTGTTTAATATGTATCAAAGAATACACCAATTAAGTTTCCTATAAATCTATCTTGGTGTATCCACATAAGATACTTGTAACAGTCTTCAAAGTACTCTTAAGTATCAATAACCACTGTCAACTTTGGTAGCAAGAACAAGTTCCTGGAAAGCCATGTTCTCATCAGATTAGTTTAGGCTTTTAGAAATTTAGTCACTCTTGACATTGGGTCATAGAAGTAACAGTAAATGAGTACTTACAATATTTTATACAAAAAAGTACAGAATGCTAATGGTTACAGTATTAGCAACTTAAATTTTTTTCTCTTAACTCATAAGTCATTTTATAAGTTTGTTAAGTATTCAGAACCCACTACTGCAACCAGCTCTAACCAGTTTCTTGAGGAATGTGGTTAGGCTGAAATTTTGGAAGTGTTGGCTTTGGTGGTGACCAAGGAGGAAGAAGCCTTTGGCTTCCCTGTTGCTGCAGTTTCCCACCCTCCAAAATCAATATACCCACCGGTGTGAATTGACAATGTGGTCCAAAGAGCAAGGCAGGAAACGGAGTCCAGATCCTCAAAATGGTAGTACAGGGCATAACCACTAGGCCACCTATCAGTTCAGTACAAAAAGTACAACCCTGTGCATCATGGTGCAAAAGCTGGGGCCTAGGTTTCGCATTGTGCATCCCACACCTATGGAAATAACAAGAGGAGTAAAATCTATAGAAATCAACACACCCCAAGAAGTGGGTGCTTACAGAAGACTGATGTCAACACTTTGCAAAGGTGGTTGGTTACTGAGATAATGAATGGCAACTGTAAGCACAAAATTGGAAGAAAACAAAATTCAACATTCAACTTTGTTGAGTATGACAATGAAGAACTCAACTGGGTTTGACATTTACCAACAAGACTTTGCAAATCATGACACCCATCTACATGCTTCTGAAAATCACTACCCCACAAAAACCTAACATTCCTAAAGAATGATTTTTAATTCTCAAGAGTTGGAAGGATTTGGACTATGAAGAAGGAAGTTAATCAACAACACCCCAAACCTGTTACTCAGTTTTAAACTTTCTCTTTTACCACCTGACTTTGGAAAGATATGGCAACACATTCAAAGCTAAGGTGGAAGGATTCCAGAATTCCAGAGGAAGGGAATCTGTGAACCAAGGATGTGCCAAGGTGATTCATCAAATACAAATATGGATTGTCTAAGGGTGAACGGTTTTGAAAAAGTAAAAAAAGAAAAACTTCTAAAATGTAGGGTTGATTCTCTAAAAGAAATAAAATCACTGCTCTTGACTCACTTAATCCTTCGCCATGTTGCTGTCAGCTCACCAACTAAGAGTGTGAGTGTGTGTCTTGCTGGGCCCATTTTCCCTTGGTCTGTAGAAGGCGCTGTGAAGCACATCCTGTTCTAGCTCTGGGGCCCTTCCCCCCTCTGCAGCCTTACCCAGTGCAGAGAATGCGCCCCCTACTGACTCCAACACTCATTGCCTTTAGCCGACTTGGCTGCGGTGCATTTTGGGTGGGGGCTGGTATTTTCTTCATGGCCATAAACCAGAAGCAACAATGCAGATTTATAAAGAAACTGTATCAAGCTATCCAAAGAGATCCCCCTCAACCCCAATTCAAAGACACAGGCAAAAGCAGCATCAAGGATGGGAATTGGGTGTGTGGGAGTGGACAACACTAAAATGGCAAACACAGGAAACAGTTTGGTTCTTTTTCCCTCCTAAGCCTTTGTCTGTAAAATGGGGTTATGGCAAGAAGTGCCCAGAGGAATTGGTTAATGCAAGAACATTAAGACTCAGTGTGTGGATGTAGCTAAAAAGGATATTAGATCCTAGAGCCTGGCCTTGGACAGAAGAGGAAGAGAAGCAATCGCGCCTTTTCTAGCAGACGTCCAGGTTGGGGGGGAGGGGAAGGCAGGCAGGCAAAGCAGAGGAAAGACGTGAATTAAGAGGGTGTTCAAGTCCTACTCCCCATTCATTGCATTAAAAAAAATAACATCTTCGCAGCTTTCTGGATTTACATTTTCCACCATCTTACTGCAAAGTTGGGGCTCACAGCATTCTTAAGAGGTCGTGCTGACCAGGCAGCCGAGATTAAGGAAAGAGGGTGGTGGTGAACTGTGGTGAGGCTGAGGGAAGCTGGCCCGCTGGAGAGGAAGGATTGCATAGGGGAGGCAAAGACTTTCACTCTGGGCCATGCATGCTCCCCTGCCCCCAGCCCGGGCCCCGGCCCCCTCC